TCTCTGACTTATGTAGAGACTTGTCACTGAATGCAAGTGCAGGAGATCCAAGGACAAAGGAAATCGAGGGTCAATCAGTAATGCAGCGGATCTGCCGGTAACAGCACAGGTTTGTGCAATCTGTTTACAAACACTTCAACATGTAAGGGTGTCAATGGACCAGTTATGCATTGGATCCCGTACAGTCCAAAATCAATATGGACGGATTGGACAGACCAACAAGATATATTTGATTGGACCAATATGGTCCAAAAATATTTATTAGATTGGATTGGACCTGGTCCGTCCGTAACTAATTTTTATTGGATTGGGTTAAGCCAATATCTGGTCCATTAATATAAGATAAGAATATATGTGTCAATGGACCGGGTTTGGGTTGAAGCCAATCTAAATCAAAATGAATTTGAACAGATTGGACGGTCCAAACATTGAATTGAACTGGTCCAAAACATTTATTGGATTGAATTGGATTGGATCTGGTCCATTTATAATAGACTCACATTGGACTGGATCGGATTGGACCAAATCCTGTCCAATTGACACCCCTATCAACAAGGTGAATTTATTTATATGAAATTTTGAAAATTCTCAAATGTTTTATTATATTCCATACCGCCGTTTCACCCTTTTCTGTGTATATTTATTATACTTAAATTTCATTCTTTTTTTCGGAAAAGAATTTCAATTATCCTCAATAAATAATGTTCCTTCATCGATCTTCTTCTGATCTATATTATCTCTCCTTTTCTGTCTACTCTCACCCGCTCCTTTAATCAGTGAGTCAATGTTTCAACCAAAACCTATTCAAGGTCTAGGGTGGATTCAAGTTAAACCAAGTCAAATATCTGATTATTACAGATTGGTTCAACAAAAAATTATTAGACTTGGGTTAGAATCAAATTAGAGACTTGAACTCAAATTCGCTTAACTCAAAAACTCGCATGCTTAAAGCTCAGCAGCTCTTCTCGATTTTGATTGAGTCAATTTTCCTATAAAAAATAAAAGGTTATATATATATATATTAAAAATTATAAAACCAGTTATTATTATACATATAAAAATTAAAAATATTATATACAATATTTTAATATTTATTTGTAATATATACATACATGAATAAGGATGGACATGAATCAAGCTTTTCACTAGCTAGTTATACAAGTTCAGCTCATGAAAAGATTGATTCAACTTAGTTTAAACCGAGCTTTCAGCCAAATTTGAGCCTAATAAACTTTTGGCTCACGACGCTTGCAAGTCTAATTGATGATAAAGCCTCTACCTCTCTAGTCTCTACCTGGGTTGTATAAATTTCCAACAATTAGCATCTAGTCTGATTAGTCTCTAAACTCATTTCCAATTTGACACATGCCATGCATGTTCAAATCGTAAGCCAAAAAACAATAAGAGGATTTATTTATTATGGAAAAAAAAATTATTTCTTGTTTTTGGTTCATGGAACTACACAAGGGTAAATAGCAAATCCCCTTTCTGCATCCCTTAACCTCCCGATCCTATCCTAGTGGCAGCGGGATTTGATCCGAGGTTTCTACTACAATGAGTCAAAAACCAAGCCAATTAAGCGACCATCAATTAAAAATGTAAGAAAAAAGTACAGGAAACCTGAAACAATTGAGCATTCAACAGATAGAACATCTTAATGGATATTTTTAATGTATCGCATGAATAGCCAACACCACACATGCATGATGCTCACTTTTATGCCATGATGGATGATGTCGTTAAGTTGAGTTTAAGTCTCTTCTTCTATATTACAAAGAGGTTTACCTTACAATTACTTTTATGACATGATGCTGATCACTGCTTTTCTATCTAATAATAATGAAAAAGGGATATTATTGGTTACACCACAAGTCCACATGGATGATGGGGGAGAGAAGCCAACAGGCCCAACACCAATTTAGTTACACATACACGACACCACACATTAAAAATAAAGAAAAGTAAAACACATAGAGGCAGATAGTCACCTACCCCCACCATCTCTCAATTCTAATCTGCCAGAGATGCTGGATGGGTGATGACTGATGACTAGACACCAAGTAACTTATCCCACCTTGTCTCGCGTGGGCAAATGGTTAATGGGTGAGTGATAACTAGACTAGTTAATGACTTCACGTGTGCAATGACGAGACGGGTTGTCAATATATACATAGCCCTATAACCCTAAACTTATCTATCAGGGAATTAATAGTGTGTTCCGTGTCAAATTCAATTTCCTAAATGCTACTTCTACGGATTCCGAATCTCCTGTCCACTGGAACTTTATTCATGTCTATCCATAACACATTATCCGATGCATATGAGAACGTCTCTTTGTGCATGATGAAATATTCTTTATGTATAACGGTGATGTTATGCGGGTAGAGGTGGGACAGAGTTCTTGTGAGGAGAAGATCAAGACTCCTACCCACCTAATGACGTGTACTGCCTAATCACTTTCACAATTTCATTTTCTTTTATATTTACTACACCGAAAAAAAATGCACGTGGACTCAACCTGGACAACGTCAGTTTGAGCTTTACCACTTAAACTGGGCCTCCATTCAACAATAATCATGCAATTGTGACAGATCAATGCACTCATACGTATGTAATCACTGATGACATGTAATTTTGATACAGTAAGTGATGATATATATATATATATATATATATATGGCTGGTTATACTGAATTTCAACTCAATTTATTTAGCGAGAGCAGTTTAGAAAGTAGTGATTTTTACATATTTTTCAAAGTGGTCCTTCTTTCGTAAGTCTACTCTTACATTGAAAATTTGAACTATGTAATGGCTGCTATTCTCAATTGGGTAGAATTTCGATTTTGAATAGTTGCATACACGTTGGGTTGGGTAATGGCTGATATTGACTATGGAACCCAGTAGGTCTTTGTATAAATGGATGGTCTGGATCGGACAAAGGATCCATCCACATGCCAGAAAAAGGCAGGTCAGTCAATATAGTGACCGGGTTAAGAATTTTTTTTTTCTAGGGAAATATGCTGATTATGAAGTTGAGGGTGCTTACTTACAAAACAAAAGGATGACGTTAGCAAGCCTCTAATTGGTACCCAGCGCTTTTTTAATCCGTTCATTTATCCTGACTCCCAAGAGATGAGAGTTTTTCTCCAAATTAAATCTAAATTTATCCCTAATCAAAAGAACTTGTAACAGGTAAAAAAAAATTAGTGGAGCTGATAAACTTGGAAATAATCCAGAGTATCCGTGTTATGAGGAAGAAGAGATAGAACACTCTTCTGAACGAATACAGGCAACCTATTCCATTGAATTACAAATCCAACACTTTGGTCCATCAAAAATAAAATCCAACATTTTGGTGGCTTTTTGTTTATAGTGGAAGTTCAATATTTTCTACTAAGGCCCATAAGCTTTTATGCTCGAGTCGCGATTGAATTTTAAGCTTTTATATATTGGATCCGGACTTGAATTAAGATCCAAAAGCCCACTGAATCCAAACCGAACTCAGCTCAATCCAACCTGAGCATGGCAGGACCCACTTTTTAGGTAAAGAGGAACGAGGGACTATACAGCTCTGAGGGTAGCACGTCCCCAAATGTAACTCAGGTTCCCATCAAATGTGTATATGCGCATTATATTTTTCATGTTTGTGTATAAGATATTTTTACATTATCACATACAAATACAAATATTGTTTATATAATGGACTACAAAGACCAAATGCGAAATACAAGTGTAAGAATGAGTAAGACTTTTCAATCAGACTAGGCCCAATCAAGCCCAATATATCCCGCAAACGGTTAGGCCACGCTCCAGTTATATTGGGCTAAGCTTGGTTATTGTTTGGTGTAGTAAAATAGAGCTTTGAGCCAAGTTGGGAGAACCCCAAGTGAAGGTTCAAGTCTAAAAATTTAGCCTGGTTGTCCAAAACCAAAATCAACCCCACCCAAGTCGCACCACTAATCCCTCTGCTTGTTTCCTTGCGGAAACCAATCTTATTTTGCTACGTGAAGATGACTTCTCAATGAGTTCGTGGGTAGACCTAATCCTTAAGGCTATGTTTGGTTCTGAGGAAAAGATAGGGAAAGGAAACGAAAGTTAGAGAAACTTATATAAGATTTGTAAAGATTTCTTTACCTTTTCTTTCCTTTCCCTACTTTTTCCTTCAAACCAAACAGTGTAAATGGTAACCAAACAAAGACCTAATGCTCTATGCCTCTATGGTTCCAAGTACTTCACGCAGAACCAACCACAATTTTATACGAATCAAGTTTATTAGGCTTGACCTAATAAGATCCTATGGAATTTACAAGATCCTAAAGGAATGTTTTATTGAGTTTTTCCAAAAATAACAAATTAATAAATAAAACAAAAACAAGCTGACTGTACTAAACCCATCTTCCATATTCTTCGTAGTTCGAACCATAAATTATATAATCCAGAGACAGTTAAAATAAAGATTGGTGGCTTTTGATAACTGGACGGCCCTACCAGTTATGGCAGATTGGTGTTTTTGATGAGATGGATTAAAAAGAAGGGAAAAATTCTCTATTAGTACCCTATATTTTGTGCCAAGTGTCATTTTGGTCTCCGAATTTTAGAATAATAATTCAGTACTTGAACTTTCAAAATGTAATAACCTAATACATTAAATTAATCAACAGTTACCTGTCATTAAGTGAATTTGAAAAAAAAACAAATGTCCTTTGAGTGTCATTTAATTTTCTTTAGGGAAAATTGTCTAAAATTCATCTTCAGTATATGAGAGTAAAGTTTTATTTTACAAATTATCCTTGAATGGAAAATTAGAGGAAAATGGATTTATAAAGAAAATTAGAGTATACTCGAAAGGCATTTATTTCTTTTTAAAAAGTTGCTTAAGAGCTAATTAACAGCAAGTACCGGATAGTCACATTTTGAAAGTTTGGTACCAAATTGTGGCATTTTAAAGTTTAGGGACCAATGTGACACCAGACACAAAATACAGGGTACTAATCAGAAAATTAAGATGATACAAGGAGTTTTTACGATATCTGATTTTGGACAGGAGCCAAGTCCTGAAACATGATACAATTCGATCACATTCACATGAATAATAACCTGAGTTCGCAGCCAGAGCCAGAGTAAATTCTGACTAGTTAACGCAAGAAAATAGCTATACAATACACAACACAAACTTTGAAAAAGCGGAAACTCAGATTGATGAATCAAAATAAAAGCAGGAACCTCAGCACAGTTAACTAAAAGTAAGTGGCTAACCCCCTCCCCCCGCCCCCCCGCCCCTCATTGCATATGCCAATGAGTGTATTGGTATCAAGTTCCAAATACAGAGAATCCATCTAACTATTTCTAAAATTACCTACATTTTCTCCAATTGTTAGAGAATCACTCGAGCATATTTATTTAGTACTCATCACCTTCGTCGTCCTCTCCTTCTGCAGACTCGGCACCAACTTCCTCATAATCCTTTTCAAGAGCAGCAAGATCTTCACGGGCTTCTGAGAATTCTCCTTCCTCCATTCCCTCACCAACGTACCAATGCACAAAAGCACGCTTGGCATACATGAGATCAAATTTGTGATCAATTCTTGAGAAAACCTCTGCAACACTAGTTGAGTTTGAGATCATACAAACTGCCCTCTGGACCTTGGCCAAGTCCCCACCAGGGACAACTGTTGGTGGTTGGTAATTAATTCCACACTTGAAACCAGTCGGGCACCAATCTACAAACTGGATAGTCCTCTTGGTTTTGATTGTGGCCACGGCAGCATTGACGTCCTTTGGAACGACGTCTCCTCTGTACATTAAACAGCATGCCATGTATTTCCCATGGCGAGGGTCACATTTTGCCATCATGGATGATGGCTCAAATGCACTATTGGTGATCTCTGCCACCGAAAGTTGTTCATGATACGCCTTTTCCGCTGAGATAACAGGGGCATATGAAGAGAGCATGAAATGGATTCGTGGGTATGGGACCAAGTTGGTTTGGAATTCTGTAACATCCACGTTCAGAGCTCCATCAAAACGGAGAGAGGCTGTCAGTGAGGAAATAACCTGCATAAAATGGTATTCTTCTCAGTCCTAGACCATAGTGTAAACTAAGAAACATAAATTAATAATTACATTTGACTAAACATACCTGAGAGACCAGCCTGTTGAGATTGGTATAAGTTGGTCTTTCAATGTCCAGTGACCGACGGCAGATGTCATAGATAGCTTCATTGTCGAGGAGTATAGCCACATCGGTGTGCTCCAGAAGAGAGTGAGTTGACAAGACACTGTTGTAAGGTTCGACAACAGAGGTCGAAACCTGAGGGGATGGGTACACCGTGAAGCCGAGCTTGGATTTCTTGCCGTAATCAACCGAAAGTCTTTCAAGCAACAGGGAGCCTAGACCAGAGCCAGTCCCACCACCAACAGCATGGAAAACGAGAAAACCTTGGAGTCCCGTGCAGTTATCTGCTAGCTTCCTGATGCGGTCCAAGCACAAATCAACAATTTCTTTCCCAACTACGGAAAAGAAACACCCAAAAAATGTAAGAAAAATCCGTACACCGAACACAGGGAGTAAAGAGCTTGAATATAAAATGCAAGGAAAGAGGTAAGGGACTTAAGGGAAGAAATTATACTTGTGTAATGGCCTCTGGCAAAGTTATTGGCCGCGTCTTCTTTGCCACTGATGAGTTGCTCGGGATGGAAGAGTTGGCGATAGTTACCAGTTCGCACCTCATCGATGACAGTGGGCTCAAGATCCAGGAACACAGCACGGGGAACGTGCTTCCCCGCCCCTGTCTCGCTGAAAAACGTGTTGAAGGCATCATCTCCTCCTCCAACGGTTTTGTCACCGGGCATTTGTCCATCAGGCTGCACGAGAGATCAGAAAACAAAATTAAGGAAAGTACACACAAAAAAAAAAAAAAATGAATCCTTCTTCTGCGTCAACGAATGTAATGTTTGAAGAGATAGTAGAGAAACTGACCTGGATACCATGTTCAAGACAATAAAGCTCCCAGCAAGCATTTCCAACCTGGATACCAGCCTGACCGATGTGAACGGAAATGCACTCTCTCATTTTCCTGCTCTGTTGATGTTGCTGAGTAGCTCTTGAGTCTTTTAAAAGTCTTGTCTGGAAAAATAGAGAGTGAGAGAGGCGAACAGCGCGCAAAGAGCCAAAGACGTATACGAAGACGCCTTGGACTCGGACCCTCGGAGAGAGAGAGAGAGAAGATGATGGTATGGCAACTTGGCAAGAGAAAACAAATAGAAAGAACGGTGGAGACGGAGGAGTTTTTATATATACGTAGGAAGTCGGAGAAGAGGACGTTTAAACGTTCAAACGGACAAACGCTGTTACCGGGACTCAGAGATTTTGAAATTTGAACTATTTTGGTGGTGGGCTCCAGTTGGATGGCCGTGACCGTTAGCATTCTCTCTCTTGTAGCTGTGAGCCTGCATGTGGAATTGAAATTCGAATATGAGAGCGGGAAAGAAGCCGCCTTTTAAAAGGGTTCCTTTAATACTTGCATCCTTAAATCTTTTATTGTTATCGGCTTGTGGTAGGGATGCAAACTGATCGGACCAGATTCAAATCATGGTATATCCGAATCCGATCCGATCCAAACATCCCATCAGATCTCACAAACTTTGATTTGAATGAATTCGACAAGCAAATTGGATATTCAAATCAAATCCGATCTGATTTAATATTTTTTAAAGAATTAATAGATTATTAGACGAAAAATAAAAGATAACAATTTAAATAAATAAAACGAAAAATACAAGTATCTTTTCAACTATATATATATATATATATATGTGTGTGTGTATGTGTTATATTTATATAAATAAATAACATATATGTCGGATCGAATAGGGGTGATTTGAATTCGATTTGATTTCTGATCGGATCCTATTCTCCGATCCGAAGATCTAAAGTAGGGGATACCCGAATCCAACAAAATAGGATCAGACTTCAGATTGAATTGGATTGGATCATGATTTGATCCATTTAGACCCCTAACATGGCTTGGGGGCAAGGAGGTGGGGGCTTGTTTGGATGGTTTCATACTTAAATCAAAAAAAATCCTTTTTGTTCTTCTTGAGGGTCCAAGCTTGAACAGCCTAACGATTATCTATACATGTCCACCTCATCCAAAATCTTATGTTGTGCTACCAACTACCAATCCATCTTGTGTTGAGTAACATGTGAAACCAGATCCATGTTTAGCAGGTATTTGGAATTGTTGCCATTTTCTTGAAACATGACACCCCCTTTTTCAATTAGTGTTACACAACTTCATTCTTCTTCCTCCTCCCCTTCCTCCTCATCCCCCTTCTCTTATTCGAGAGGTTTATGCCTCATACGTTCTAAACTACGCTTACGCTACTAGGTAGTGGAACACCATGCGTCACGCCTATGTTTTGAAACATTGGATGACATTATAATGTTTGCTAGAGGCTTAAAAAGAAGCCTAAAATTCTTGATGGAATTTCTAATAGCCTACGAAGAAGTTTAACAAACAAAAATTTTGTTTCATGGTGTTTGAGAGAGAATCCTTTCAAAGGATTGAGATGGTTGTAGGAGTCACTAGTTTCTCTAAAAATAACTTCCCTTTCATTTATCTTGGTGTTACCATTGGCAAAAATACCCAAGAACTAGAGACTTTGATTTTCTCACTAACAAAATTCAAAAAAGAATTTGAAGGATGGAAAGCTAATCTCTTATCTTCTAGGGGCAAATTCGTTTTGCTCTAGCATGTCCATTCATATATTAAGTTCAGTAGCAACTCCAAATGTTGTCATTCTTCATACTCATAAATTGCTTGCACAATTCTTTTGCGGTTCCTAGGAGTTTGGGCCAACACATAAATGGAGGAGTTGGGACATGATTTACAAACCCTATGAGGAGGGTGGTTTGGGAATTTACTATCTATTGAAATGGCATTGCTTTTAGATTAAAGGCTTGCTTCAAAATGATTTGAGAACACGAGTCTATGGGCTCATTTCATAACCTCAAGGTACCTTAGATCCAACTCGTTGGCTTCTACATCCTTAGTTTAAACTCTTCTTGATATTGGAAGGAATTGCTTCATGTAAAAGAAATTGCACTCCCGAATGATAAATGGCTGATTGGTAATGGAAATGTGGTTTTTTTATAGGTAAATAAAATATATTATAATAACAAAAGATCAATAATGTCCTTTACATCTTAGCCCTTTGTGCTACTAGATGGGCTAAGATATTCAAAGCTCTATTAACAAAACAAAAAGCAGTCGAGTGAAATTGCTTTAAAAGACCTTGGATCCTCAGAAGAAGCCAACAACAAGACTAGGGGAGAGAAGCTTTCTTTTTTAGAGTTTTTAAAACTGTCAGAGAATCCGAGCCGATCACCAGATGGCCTTCTGATAGCCTTCTTGCCAATAAGACTCCTTACAAAATGGTTTTCAGCTCCACTTCTTCAACTATTCAGGTTCTTTGTTCTACCCCCTATAATACCAAGACACAACAAGTTATTAGATAGACAAATTACTTCAAAAGATCGCTTATTGGTAGAAAGGTTGCCTCCATCTGCAAACAAAATGATATTAGTATTTGATTTGGCCTAAAACTCAAATTTCTGCTAGTTCTGATGATTCCTTGTCTCTAAGTTATTGGAGGAGACTTCGGAATGAGAGGACCAAGAGGCTTGGAAAATATTGTTAACTTTTGCCAGCATAACATGGATAGGAATCTAATTACCCCTAAAACATTTTTCAATTCTAGCAAACCAAATGTAATACAATCCAATTGCATACCAAATAACCACTTCCTAAGCTAGAATTCTATCAAGCAAAGAATCTAACAACTAACTCAAACAATTAAGCCAAGAATCCTAGAAATTTGATTGGAGGTTAATGTTCCAATGAGTTGCAAACAGGAAGGCTTGAACAAATGGACACTCAAGAAACAAATGTCTAATTGATTCCATATTTCGATTACAAAGGCCCCATTCCTGGTCTTGAGGATTTGAGAAAAAGATTTTGGTTATCAGGAATGTAGTTATTTATTACTCTCCAAATAAAACGATGGAACCTCAGAGGGATTGGGATTTTCCAAATAAATTTAAAACACCGTCATTGAGAATCAGTGATCTTAGGGAGCTGAGCTTGTTGGGTTTGGACATAAACTTGCTTGGTAAAGAATCTACCTAATTTATGGAGAGTCCAAATCCATATGTCCTCATTCTCCTTAGGGAAAATGGGTGTGTCCAAGATGTCCTATACCACTGCTTGAGGGAAAAGACTTTTTGATGAGCTACTGGTTCTAGTTTCCCCCCCTTGTTAGGGAGGCTATGGGAGCATGAGAGAGAGAGAAAGAGAGAGAGAGTTGAAAGAAGAGGTTGAGGGACCTAGTTAAATCAACTATTTTACAATCTTAGAGCTTTGAGGCCAGAGGTTTCGAAAAAATAGAACTATTTATTCTCAGTGTAAGGAAAAAGCCCACCATGACATGCAAGCTTTTTCAGTAGGATAAGATTCACCGATTTGGAGACTCTAAAGCCCAACCCACCAAATCCTTTAGGTTGGGCCAGTTTATGCCAAGAGCATAAATGAAAAGGATGGGGATTGGCTTTGCACTTGGCACACTGAAAATCTCTCATTTTTTTTCTCTATCTTTGAAATGGTTTTTTTGGAATTGCACTACATTCAGGGAATGGCTAGGGGTAGACTATAAAATGGCATGGATTAGGACCCTTTTCCCAGCTTAACTAAGAGCAAAGGCTTTCCATTGATTTAATGTGGCCTTTATATTTTTGAAAACATAAGACAAATCATTATTTTTATTGCGGGTCCAAAGGAGAGGGAGCCCAAGATATTTGGACCGTGGATTGATGTCGACAATCAAGTTTCTATATTGCCTGCAAATCAGCTAGATGGGAGAGTGGGATGAGCTGGGATCCTGGATCCCCACAACAACAATTTCCTTAAAATCACCAATAAGTAAAAATAGAAAATCAATGGTTTCCAACCATGCTTTTAGATTGGCCCAAAATCGATTTCTTTGTGCATTGATTAAAGGCCCATATATAAAACCAACCACCCACTAATTTAGAGGATGAGCATAAACAACTTTTAAGAAGATATATTTCATACTTACCACAAAAAGAGACACTTGAAAATTGGCTTTCTAGAAGGCCGCTATCCCTCTTGCTATCCTTTCAAGGGAATGAAATATGTGTTAGAATAATTCACGTTAGAGACTAGTTTGTCCATTTTATCATTAGGAATTTTTTACTCGTATAAGAATATGAAGTTCGAATTATGGCATTAAACCAAAACTCTTAAACCCTAAACTGTCTTAGGATGAGCTGCCCCTCGGCAGTTCTAACTTAGGATCGACATTGGCGGTAGTGGAACTATGGAGGGCCAACCACCACCACTCGAAGGGATAAAAAATGAATCTCTATAAGGAAATAAGTACTTAAAGTAGGGTTTTGCATTCCCTGAGCACTTGAGGATTCACTAACAGTGCCTAGCAAGTTTTGATCAGGCTCCTTTAGAGGGTCTATGTAGGCGTACTCCATAACAACTATCCTATCCATCGGGGGTTGTGAAGAGGATTCTGGACATTCAAACATTGGTAAGTTAGGTCTTTCATCATTTACTTTCAGACTAGACAGGAGATTAATCCAGGGTTGCTTGCCACAAATGTAAGATGAGGAGCTTGGAGAGTTTGAATCAAAGACAAGCTACAGGGAGGCTTGGACCTAAGTTGCTAAGGAAAAGGTCTTCGATGAGACTTTGACTAAGGAGGCAGCTATAGGGGAGGAGATTTCAATTCTGGCAGTAAGGGGGAAAGGACATGGGCTAGGGTATTTTCTGAACTAGCTTGGTCTTGAGTGCCTTGGTGAGGCTTAGGCTTTGGTTGAGGAGTTGGCCTGTTGATGGGTTGACTAGGGTTATGAACAGAGTCTTAGAATTGTGGGTGACGCCAGTTACATCACATGTTAAGTTCAGTTCTCAGCCTGGGTCCAGGGAGGTTCATGGGACGATGGTTGAAAAACTGGTCTATAGAGCAACCATTCATGTAAGGTAGAGGTTGCAAGAAATGTCAAAACATGTGGCCCGGTCAACCACAAAGATAACAAACCCAGGACAGATCTTCATAGCGGAGGGTGACCCAATTCTGAGCATTGAAAAAGCACCCTGTCTTCAAAGGAACTTCTACAAAAATTTATACCTTTGCTCTCATTAGTTTTGCACTATTGATACATTGCTCAAGGTCTGCAATCTG